TATTTTTTTTATATTGTAATACTCAATGTCTAAAAATTTATTTTTTCTGTAACTTGCGATAGGTCCTGTAGAAGTCTTAAGCGTCCACGGTCAGAATCTTAATTGCTAAAGATTGGTAGCAAAGTTCAAACATTTTCCTACGTCATCAAGGCGCCACATTTTTTGTTTTCTTTCTTTGTGGCTTCCTTTACGAAAATTTTGGGCGAACTACTTGCAATAATTCGCTAACGTTTTGCAGCAAAATTCAAACTCGGGGTTGCGATAACAAATTTAACTTAAAGTAAATTTTGCTTAAATTTTTTATGATTTTTTTTGCTGAGCGAAATAGGACAAAATTAATAAGAAATTGTTATCAGCCAAGGGCATTTTTTATAGGGGCCACTTTTTCAAGAATTAGAAATTTAAAATGATTAAAAAAGCAATCCATATTACTTATGTAATGCATTTCTCAAAATATTATATACACTACACGATTCATTTCGTAAGTGCTTAAAAAAAGTTCTGTACCTTTCAAGTAATTTTATTTAAAATGTAAGCATAGTATGAATAACGTTTTTATCTTATAAAATTTAGGGTTTAATCTTTTAAACCAGTAATGCTAGATGAAATTTGAGTTAGTTTAGAATCGTAAAATTTATTAGGCAGTAAACAAAACTGATATTGTTAAAATTAATACAGTGAAATATTTTATTCAATTATTTTTAAATATTATCAACCATAAATCAAAATTAAAATTTAATGTAAAATGAACTTGATTTCGAAATGAATCTTTGATAACGAAATTTAGTTTCCCTGAAATACAGATCCAGTGTAAAATAAAATTGTTCAGAGTTTCATTATTCAAAATTAAGTAGGATTCTAACTGACATGAAACTTATAAATAGATTATTGCAAATAAAACATGTAAGAGAAAGAAAGACGTTCAGAAATCCATATTACTGTTCAAACACTCAATAATCCAGATATGCAAAGGTTTCGTGTACTCGAAAACTGTAAATCTTTTTTTTTTTAACGTTACTCAATCTTCTGGAGAAAACAAAATGCCGCATCTTACAGAAAACAAATTATGGCAATCAACGCTTATAAAAAATTGTAACAGTGAAGTGGGAAAAAAATATAATAGTTGTCCCCAAATATCAAGTAAATTAAATGAATTGAAACTATTAAATAGAGGGGAAATGGTAAGAAGAATATACAAATACCTTACTTAATTTACATCTGTATTTATTAAACATTTTGGAACAAATTATCAGTATTTCATGTTAGCTTACATAATGTACTAAGAAAAAAACTGCGATAAAAAGTACAAAAGTCTACATTTATAAAAAAAATGAAATGCCAAAATAAAAAAAACGCAAGAAATAGAAGAAAATATATATCAGAATCACCACTTATAGCAAAATAATAAAGATAGCGAGGAATAAAACAAAAACAATATATATATAGGTATAAAAACGCTACTAAGAGTGTTTCTGACAGTTATGAATGAAGCAAAGGAGAAAAAGGAAAATAAATCGTTTTGAATTCAAAAGAAAAATTTTATTTCTCCATATTATCTAGGAAAAAGTGGAGATAAGAGAATAAAATCATCAGAAATGCTCTTAAAAAATAACGCGTCGTAATAAAAACATCGATGGAAAAAAAAATTTCAAAGAAAGAATAACAGAAGAAAAAAAACAGTTCTAAAAATCTCAGTTTTTCATATTACCACAATTTTGGGAAAAACTTGCCATAAAAGAAAAACAATTCTAGTAAAAACAGTTAAAAAAAACCACTTCATTATATAAACAGAGATAATAAAAAAAATTATAGAAAAAGAAAAAAATGGAGGAAAAGAAATTCTTAAAACAAAACTTAAAAGCCGAAAATTTTTGAAAAAAGGGACAATACAAGAAGTATATAAAAAAACACCTAAAAATGCGTCTGAATGAAATCGCCGTTAAAAAAATTATTTAGAATTTAATTCTGTTAAAAAAAAATTGTTTTTAATTCTCAAAAGAAACCTTTATCACTGTAAATCTCGGTTTTTCGTATTGCAGTAAGTGAAAAGATTAAACAAAAAAAATTTTTTATTCGTCATTGAAATCTTATTTAGTAATCTTGTAACTTTTACGAATGAAAGAAAGCGTGGGAGGCCGGGATTGCCTGGTTGGTAGTAGAGCATTGGGCGTTGGTCGAGACTTCCCGTGTAGTAAATGGTGACTGGTTCTCGTTAAATCTGTCGGGTCACAAAATCCCCCATGTTTCCATAGCAAACCATATTTTTGCTGAAATAGATCTCTCTGGTTCAGGTCAAAATTATGATCTGTGCATGTATGAATGGTTCATCCCTTAAACGGGCAGTGACGTGTGTCTGAAGTAGCCTTCTGGCCATAGATGGAGCCACTGAAAAACAAGAAGCACACGCTCTGCTTCAAAATTCGCTTGATTTCACCAAGCAGGCTTTCTGGTATAGACAAGTATTTGTGGATGTAACAACATATGCGTAACAACAATATGTGGATGTAAGTTTTGGTAGCATCTTTTCGGCGTAATACAAGAAGTCGAATTCACTGATTTTGGAGAACATGATGGAAGTTTAGAGGAAAAAGGATTTTCATGTGGCGAATGGCAGGCATTTGTTTAATCGCCATTTCTTATATAATTAGTCTCCCTGTGGCCGGTGTCAACTGATAATTCATCCTTATGTTTAGGTGGCTAACTTTGGTTAACAGTGGTATAGGGAAAAAGTTTACGCATATAACAGTTTTTAAATGAAATTTTTCTTCGAACAAATAAATAATAGTGTCTTCATATTCAATATGTGTCGCAAATTTATTATTATTTTAAAAGGCTAAAATTTTATTCATATCTTATTGATTACTTTGCATTTTATAGGACAGGATGCTGTCTTTCTGATGAAGAATAGTGTTTTGTGATTCATCATAGCTCTGGTAAGATTTATACTCTTGCTCTTCTATACATTTTCGGGCCGTTCAGATATAACGAAAGCACCTAAAGAAGGAAAGGGATTTGCTCACTTTTTCGGGCAAGGTGGGAGGAAGGATATGAGCGATGTCTGATAACAAAAAGTGAAATAAATTCAAGTTCAAATTTACTTATATATCATAATTTACTTATGTTATGAATATTTGAAACGCATCATATGTATAAATAACGTGTAAATTTGGTTAAAGTTGCGACAAGTAAGCCCTCCGACAGTTCCTACTGTCTTCAAATCTACTTGACCAAAGTCTGCACTTTTTCAGAAAATTGTCTACCAGGCGAGCTTTGTGTTGTCATGCGTTACCTTAAAATGAAAATAGGGAATTTCATTTTAAACCTCACCTCTGAAAAAGCAAACAAAGAGTATCAAGGGCTCTTTTTTATACCTTGTGCTGGCCAAAGTGATAGTTTGTAAAAGATATAGAGGGTCTGCAGCTATTCAGCATACGGCTTACTCGGACCACCAACACTAAGCTTCCATAATAGTAAATTTCTTAATCATTACACTGGTAACATTAGAGAATAGATAGTGGCGCCTTTGTTCAAAAGTGAAACTCTTTCATATGAAAAGAACCAGTGGCTTGCCAAAACTTCTCAAGTATCTGAGAAAACAACCATTATGTTAGTCCTGTGTTTGCCTTTTAATGGATACAGTTGACCCAAATTTGATTTAGATCCAGATTTGATTTTGAACAGTCAACCTCAAAGAAGTCAGATAGACTGCGATTTTCTGAAAAGTGAAAATATAGACTTAAAAGATTATCCAGCAAAAACTTAAGATCTATGATATATGTCTGAAATGCTCTGGGAAGAGCAATTAAAACTTGCAGGCACCCTCAGACAACCATCTAGACCCTGAAAATAGTGTTGAATAATTGAGACCAATTTCTACTTAGTTGATTTATTTCCACCGTTTTTGTTTGAGAATGTATTGTATGTCTGTGAGAAAGGCGCCATAGTTTGGAACAATTTTTCATTTGCTCGATTCAGTAGCTCCTGTTTCATACCTGGTGAATGTTCATTAAATATGTATTGTATCAACTTATGTGCATTCATATTTCATAAAGCATTATTATTTTCTTTAAAGAGTGATTCATTCTCTGGAAGTGATCCATTTGGGGGATTTGATACTGCTTCTGCCTCTACAAACCCTGGTAAGTAGTTGTATCAAAATTTATTGCATTTTGACAGATCTGAATCTACTTATTTACTTTTTGCTTTTCATTTTTGAAAACTCTAGCTTTCCAAGTTCTAACTGTAGGCAAAATTGAGCAAGCCTTTCCCTGCTACTAACTTGTTACCCATTAAATAACATTAAGATAAGTTAGTTTTTGTTGCATGGGTCGGAATGGCCTGGTTGGTAGATTTGTTGGCCTGATGTTCATGAGTTCGAATCCTGCTGGCCAAAGAATCCCCGTGTAATAAATTGTGACTAGGACACTTTAAATTTGTTGGGGTCACAGAGTCCTCCAAGTTCTCGTAACAAATCAATACCTCTGGGAGTACTGAATTGGACATTGATCTTTCTCTGGTTAAGCTCAAAATTATGATATGATTGCGTGGAGGAATGAATGGAGTGAGACTGAATCATCCCTGTAAAACGGGCTGTGACGTGTGTATGGCTGAAGTCGTACTCTTGGGCATAGGTGGCGTCACTGAAAAAACAAGAAATGCACTCTCTGCTTTAAATTAGCTTGGATTCTCATGGCAAGATTGCCGATATTGGTAAGTGACATTTGTTACAACAACAGTTTTTGTTGCAACAATGCAGCCTGTTCAACCTTTTAACCGATTTTCAAAGTTATGCAAATATTTCCCTGCCAAACACAGTGTCTCTATTGTGGGAAAATAGGCTTTCTGTACAGGAAAGCAAACAGATTGGAACTGGCACAGAAATTGATGTTAGCTAAAGGGTTCAAGCATAGAAAGAGCCATAGCTATTACTTAGATGGTTAAAAATTATTTTATTCTAATTATTTTAATAAATGTATTAATACTTATTTCTTGTTTTTAGAAAAAGATCCTTTTGATCCGTTTGGTTTGTCTCAAGCAAATTCTAATCAAGCTCCTTCTATGGTATGTATGTCTTTTTGGTTTTAGTTTGTTTATGGCAGATTTTCATTTGTTCAATGATTTAATTTCACTGGGCCACTGAATTTTTTGAAAATTTTCTTAATAGATACGAGATAAATATTCAGCTTATTAATGGGTAAAACTACCTGCGCTTATAAATTTTGGTTGTTGTTTAATGCTTGCAACGTTATCTAGTTTTAAAAAATTAATTTTATAAAGGCAAGGTGGCGACCCACCTTGATATCCTGGAATTATCAGGGAATTTTTTATACTGGGAAACTCAGGGATTTTTTTAAGAAAATCTAGAACTTTTTTTTCAATTTAAATTATTTTACCATCCACTATCCACTTATATATCCACTTTATTCAGATGGACATTTATCGTCAAACAGCTGAAATATCACCTTAGCAATACATCATTAAAATTCTCTCCATTATTGCCCCACTAAACTAGAATACCATATAAAACTTGCCTCCATGGAGGACTTTTTTGATAAAACTAAAACGCACTTGCGTTACACGGAGAAGAAAACCACTAAAACCACCCACGGTTAATCTGGCTGCAATGGGACTCAAACCAGGGTGACCATCCACCTTGAAAACCTGAAATTATCAGGGAATTTTTTTATACTGGAAAAAATCTGGAAAAGTCAAGGAAATTCAGATTAAAACCTGGAAAAATCAGGGAATTTCAAAGAAAAGCTGGAATTTTTCTCTTAATTTAAATTATTTTACCATCCGTTGCATCCACGCTGTTTAGACGTAAATTTATCGTAAAAAAGTTGAAATATCATCAATTCAGTAATACTTTTCTTGCATTAAAATTCGCTTCATTAAAATTCCTGCGAAACTAGAATACCATTGCAAAAACTCTTTTGTGTTGGGAAATAAAATGGATAAATCTTTTTCCTCTATGGAGATTATGGGACTATGCAGTTTAAGAAAGACAAAAATGTGGAAGAAAGGATTAGGATATTTGCTTCTGTTTACAAAAGTAGCGTTTAATTTTTTTTCTTTAAATCTTGTTTTAATCTGTGGGCTGAATTCATTAATTGTTCAAGTTTGTTCCGATGCTTTGGGAGTATTTTTTGCTTTTAACAAAATTATTCGAAATGTTTTACTATTTTTAATTTTATAAAATTCTTCAAAAAATAATTGTTCATAATGTAATTAGAGATTTTATCTTGCGCACTTTTTCTGAAAGCTTTTGTCCAATGAATTATTTTTTTCTGGATTTCATGATAACTTTTATTTTGATATTTCCGAAATTGTTTCTCCTTTTACCCTGAAAAGCTGCCAAAACCAAGGAATGTATGGAAAACATGCTAAAAGACATATAAACTTAGAATGGAATTTTTTTTATTTATATTTGTTTGTTAGAAAGAAGGAAAACAAAACTTTGTTTTTCTGTTCTGCACTGTACAGGGACAGGTTTCAAGTTGGGCAACCAGATGACCAAAATTTTTAACTTAATATTAAGTAAACTAGGTATTATTTCCAAGGTAAAAAATTGAAGATTTAGAAATAAAGACTTTTAACTTATAAATATCAGTTTTTAATAAGTCATAGGCTGTTAAATGAAGGGCAACATCATTTGAAATTTTCATCCATGGTAAGAGAATCTGTAACGAAGTACAGTTTTTTTTTAAAAAGAATTCACACTAATAAGGGAAAATGGACAGAATAATAATTAAAGTAAACTATAACAAAACAGGTTATCTTGCACAAATATGTAGAAACATTTCTTATTTTGATTTACAAAAAAATTTCTCAAGATATACTTTTGATGTTTTACGTGTGACACCAAAATACATCATTAATTGTACTGTAGCACCAGGATTTAATATAATAAAATTATTTTTTCTGTTTAAAGCAAGATTTGATAATAATATATATGTTTATTTTAAATTAATAGTTAATTATTTTTACGCACCACTCAGACACCACTGTTTTTTTTTCATTACATTTGTTTTTTATTTATTTTCATCTTTTATTTCACCTTTTCTTTATAAAATGAAGTAAAATATGAAGAGAAACAATATAAATATTCCTTAAGGTTAATTTAAAATAATGTATTTCACCTCAGTAACCTAATTTTTGCAACTATGTTGTACTTTGAGTTATTTATGTTATAGCTTAAAATTGATCAATGAAGTTTTAATATATTTTTTTAATTTAATTTAATTTATTTATTTAAGGTAACTATCTCAGTTTTAATTTAATTTTATTTATTTATTTAAGATAAGCATCTCGGTTTTAATTTTTTTAGTAACAATTTAATTTCATTTAGAACATTTTTAATCAATCATTTTGCTTAGAGCTTGAATAATGTGTGTATTGAGAGAAAAAATAATTTCTGAACATTCTATAGTTATTTATTTATTTATTTTAAGTAAAGAAGAGAAATAATTTTATGGGGGGGAAATATTAAACCTACTTGCATAGCAAACTACAACAATAACTCATATCCTATTCAATCTTTAGGTAAATGGGATAAAAATTATTAGTTATTTATTGGGCCTGTAATTGGTCAACGAAACTGAAGAAGGGGTATTGAAAAGAGATAAAAATTTATTCGGGAATTCATATAAAAATTGGGTCCAAATATTTGGTCCATCTTTTGTTCTACAACCGGACATATGTTCTTTCTTGTTTACTGCTAGCTATGCCACTAAATGGAAGTAAAAGGCATATCGGTAAATATTGTCTGCTACAAAAAGATTATTTAATTTTATTCCGGCAATAAATAAAGCTATGATTATAATTTTTCCTGCGCTCAGAAAAATTTGTTATAGGGTACAGTAAAAAATTGTCGTTTTTTTTTTCCTTTTAATGTACAGTGATTATTTTTTTTCAATAGAATTTTTTTTTGTAATATAAAACTAATGAATTTTTTTAACTTTTTTCCCCATATTTAAAAAAAAAGTTTTTATTCCTTGTTTCATTGCTTAAATATGAGTTTTATTTATATTGCTGTTAATATATTACACTGATGTTAATATATTGCATTGTTGTTAATATACGTTGCATAGCTAAAATGAGTGATTTTTCAACTAACTTTTATTGGGTGGAAAATGTTATAAAACATATTAATCTGACCAACAGGAAATAGAAGACAATTTGAAGAAGCTATTTAATAAAAAAATAATATTTGTTGCATTAAGATTAAAATTAAAGTAATTTTCAGTCATTATAATGGTTAGCATTGGTTTAAATTTCGATCCAATTTAAGTAATTTACGTCTGGCACAGAAGTAAAAAATTTCAAATTAATTATGTATCCTATTTCACAAACAACTGCATAGAATGTTTTATTCAAAAGTCAGCTTCAAAATTCAGACAAGTTCACATTTAAATTACAAAGAAATTCAGAGTTTTGCAAATTAGTAATCATTTTTGCTTTTGCGCGATTCACGTCTGACAGCAACAATTTAATCCATTTAATCTGAACTTTTAATAATCAGTTTTTATAAAACAAATTGTTTTTCGATAAGTTATGATATACTTAATATTTAATGTAAAAGTTTGATTCTAAACTTTTGTTTTATAGGATAGTTTTTCGAATAAATTTATGTACATTTTTTTCTGACACCATGGAATTGCCCAGATGTAAAAACAAAACTATTTAACACATCTGAACCATGTCAGTTTGGAATTTTTAATATATTCTGATTTCCATTAAGAAAGAAAGAAAAAAGAATAAAATTTAAAGAATTTTATCTTGTTTTTTTTCTCTAAAGAATATACAACAAGAAATTGACAATTTTTCCTTTACAAATAATGAGGAATATGTCTTAAAATAATAATTCTAATTTGAAATAAACAATTTTATTTAAACATTTGACTTATGATAATGGTTTAAAGAAAATTATTTCAGTGAATTTTATAAAGAGCATTGTCTGGATAAGTATAAAATGGCTCTATATTAAAAGTAAATAAATGTAAAAATTTATTAGTTTCTAATCACCTGGAATTATTTTCTTTTGCTTAATAAAAATATATTAAACAGTACTTATCCAAGGTTGCTTTGGATCATTTCTATTTGGTACATTTTGTGCAAAAACTATCTAACACTTAAAATTTTTTTATTCATTAAAAGCGTTATTTTCTGCAAGCTAGACGTATTGTTTCCTTCACATCTATTCAAGCTGATATATTTAAAAAATAACATTTTAAATGAAATACTACACTATTATATTGACTAATACACTAATATTGACACTTTTCTTGCACCTACTACACTCCAGGAGAAAAAAAAACACGCTGACCCGGAAATTGTTAGATTTTTACTGGAAAAAATGGAAAAATCAGGGGAATTTGAAGCCTGATTTGAGTAACCACCCTGAATTATGATTATGAGGACTTCCCCTTTTTAGCTCAATTTATGTTTCTATTTTAGTCTCCTAGAAATTCAAATTTTTCTCTTATCAAAATTGCGACAAGTTTCTCTTATCAAAGTAACGACAAGTAAGCCCTCCGATAAATTGACTCCTACAATCTCCAAATTTCTAATTCAGTCCCTAGTTATGAGCACTGCTAACAAGCGGCACTGAATTCCCATTATTTTTAATTATGGTTATGGGCTACTAAAATGGAATTAGGTTTAGAGGTCAATTTCTAATTTGTTGTTTCTAGGTCATAATTAATGTAAAACTTTTTTGTCATAATTTTTTGGTGGGAATATTAAGGAACTTTTTGTCGCGCGGATGGCTAATGCTAAATATTTCTTACAATTCTTGAATTAAAAATGCAACCTAGTAGTTTCTAGGCCGAAAGTTACCTAAAACTTGTTTTGCGAAGTATTTTTCTTTTAGGACAGCCAACGATTTCCTTAAATGATCTAAGCGTTTGGTCGCAAAATTCAGACCTGTAGTTTCGTACATATTAAGTCGTACATTTGTGAGAAACTTGTATTGGCCATAACTTTTCCTGGAGGACGAGCTAACGATAGGTTTTGTTAAAGCAGCATATGCTCTAACAATTTTGTGCGGTAAGCATTTGTTTTGAGCAAAAATTTCTTTCTAGATTAAAAGTTTGCAAAAACTTTTTTTAATAGGTATGATAATGAAAACTTTGTTGCACCAACAGTTATTTGCAATTTTTGTCAAAATATTAGTTTTAGTTAGTACCAGACTTTTTTTTTATTAATGGGTTTTCTAACAAAACTTGTTAGGAAAACTATTTAATACAACTGATAAATATTTTTAAGCAGTATTCCAAAATTTTAAAGCAAAAGTTATCGTTTTCCTACAACCTAATGTTTGCTGATGGCATAATGAAAGTTTTCGTTCGGATGGCAATTTTGTTTAATGGGGTAATTTCTGGAGGTGACATTGAAACTTACTGTTTCTGAGTAAAAATTAAGGTAAACTTTGCTTTGATTGTTCTTGGAGTCCCGCAGTGGACTCATCGTAAAGACACGGTTCCCAATAGAACACCGAAGTCAAGCATTACTGGCTGCGGTCAGTGAGCGGGTGGGTGATCATTTTGATTAGCCTGCGTAGGGACCGAGGGTGCACAATATCGGTCCTAGTTAAACTGTTCTACCGTAAAGTGCACGACTTCGCGTGCAGGTCGTCGGGCTACCGAATCAGGGGAGTCATCCTCTCTGCAGAGGATCAAATTTGCGATGGCATGTCTTCAGATTATCCTCAGGGATGTTTCCCAGACCGTCGACAATAGCCCATTGTACAGCTCGAGTGCGACGTAAATAAAATACCTACCTACCTACTTTGTTTTTGGATGGCTCCTATAATTTGCCATAATGGGCAAAAATTTGAGTGCGAAATTCGTGATAGAATTTCTTAAGTAATAAGTTAGCTGAAATTTGCTCTGGTCGAAACTAATGTTGTGGATGGGTTTAGAAAACTTCGTTTGTCTTAAGATTTCCTTGAAGGATCAAATGTTTGGAATTGAATTTTAAACTTGCGATTTATGGATCAGGAATCAGCTAAAGCATGTATTGACCATACCTTTTTTAATTTGATAATTTTGCAAAATTCAAACTTTACTTTCTGTGCTATAAAATAGCTTAAGTTTTCCATAATTTTGTTTAAATAAGCTCAGAAGCTTATAATGTAATAAAAGTAATGAGCAATGCGAAAGATACGAAATTTCTTTCAATTTTTATAGACTAAGGACTTACTGCAATGAGCTAATGTTATACCCTTGCCATCGGGATGACCGTTTGAGGTTTTCGGGGTTTTCTTCTTGTAACGCAAATGTGGGTTAGTTCTATCAAAAATTCCTTTACAAAGGCTAGTTTGCCCCAATGCTTGACTGTAAATTGGAGCTGACATGGGCTACTGATTCAATGTTCTACACCAGCTATAAAACAAAATGAGCTAATGTTTAAATGTGAAATATTAACATGTGATTTATTGGTCAAAAGTTATCTTATACTTATTTTGACACGAACCATTTTGGCACTTATCGCGGTCTAACGTTTGACGATAAAATAAAATGTTGTTGTTTTTTTGTTCGTCTTGAATATTTTATTAGCATTTTTAATTTATAATACAATAATTTATTAACAAATTTGAAATAAATTCATATAATTTTAAAAGTAAAAAAAATAGTTGAAGTACTGTTCCCTTTTATATATTATACGGCTTAACCGATTATTCGATTTGCACTTTGGATACCGAAAACTACCCTAACAATTTTTTTACCCCCCTTAGAAAAAAACATATATTTATGATTCTTTATATTGCATGATTTCCATTATTTAAATGTTGAAATATGAAATGTTAGATTGAAATTGTCTGTAAAAAATGCAAAAAATTGAGAATTTTATCTAGAAGTAAAAATATGTTTAAACTCTATAATACTGGTATACATAACAAATGAGAAAAATACACTTCATATATTAAATATTTGTTTATTAAAGTGATAGATTTATAGACCAGTTAATAGAATGTCATTATATTTTCAACCACAAGGTTGATAAATCTATTAAGAGTTACCAGTATTTATATGTTCATCATATTAGAATGAAAAGATTTGGGACGATATAGTAGTAATAAGTTTCACTTTATTTCCTCAAAATGTGATATTTTTACATCAAACTATTCCTGTTAATTGTTTCGAAAAATTCTTTCAGCATGTTACACGAAGTTTCATTAAATGACAACAAATGTCGAGTATATCTTTTCACATGCACACACACAAAAAAAAATGCAAGTGTTACATAGAGAGAAAAACCACGAAAACCTTACATGATTAGCCCAACGATAAAGGGATTTTAATCAATGACCCATTTACAGAGATGATTTTTATTTCAACTTTTTGGTTGACTCAAGCTGGGAGTCGAACCCATATAGACCAGTCATCGAACACAGAAAAGGAAATTCTTTTTTCCAATTTTGGATTTACAACTACCAATGTTCAGCTACGCAGCCTTGTAATTTTGTGTCCCTACCGGAAGACAAATGATCAAGTATTGCGAGAAATTTGCCTTCATGGAGGGCTTTTTTTAGTGGAACTAACCCTCTTTTGCATTACATGAAGAGGAAAACCACGAAAGCATCCCACGGTTAACCTGATGGCAAGGGGACTCTAACCCATGATCCGTCTGCCACTGAGGATATTTTACGCCAACACTGTGGTCTATGCTACCTGTAACAGTATTGTTAATGTTTTTTCACTCAATTGTTTTGTAAAAAAACTATAATTATGTAATTTGCTTTGTGATGATAATTCTAATGAACTGTTTCTATTATATTCTTCAGAGTTTTCAATGGATGAGTTGAGTACTGCAAGCTGTTGATAGCATTCATCAAGTTGGAATTTACTGTCTTGCTTTAGTTTTGTCCAATTGCTTGCCAAAAGTAAGTAAAAATATCCTAGAAATATCAATAGAAAAATAGATTTTGCAACCCGTTTACTCTTGTAGCTTTGTTTCTTGCAATTAGGATTGTTTTGTCATATTTATCACAATATCATATTTTTTGTTTACTAGTCAAATAAAAACTGGATGGTCTTACTTCAAAACTGCAACATCTGAAGATCTTTATATGTATAGAAATGATTTTCTATAATTTCTATACAGTTCTGACTAAGAAAATGCGAATACCTTAAGATTAAGGAAAATGATATTTTCTAATGGCCTTGTATTTTTTGGTACATTTTTTTTCAATTTCTAAATTACTTTTTACTTCTGATTTGCAACATTATTATGGGACTTGTCTAGATGACAATGGAAAACATCAGAATAGAAATAGAAATAGAATAGAAATATTGTGTTAATATACAATGTGCTACGGGTTGACCTTCTTATCTAAATTTTCAATTTTATATATTTCCTCAATTTTTGTAACCAAGAAATGATATTTCATCATTATGTAATTGAGATTTGTTTTCTATGTGTGAGAAAGAAAATCTTCTCTATTCACAGGTTTGGAAATCCAAATCTTTGATATTGAACGAGGCAGTGGCAAATATTCCTTTTTTGACTAAAAGATTGGTTAATAGTTAACTTTTTTACATCACAAAATGAAAAAAAATATTACACTGTCTATCATAGTGCATAATAAGTTTATTATTACATTTATGTCAAGTTTAATAGCATTTCTTCTTCTTAAAAAATTATTTTTACAAGCGATGAATTATTTTCACTGCAATATTAATCAGAAAACTAGAATTTATTGAATTTATGTTTATAAATTTTAACGATAGAAAAAAACAAATTTTTATTACTGTACAGATCTTAATTATGATTTTTCAGAGAAAGTGCTTAAAATATACTCAAAAGGTGCTTATTTTTTGTTGAAAAATCTGTCTACGCATCCTGTATTAGTTTATAGTGTGCATCTACTCTTGGTTTTTTAAAGTAAGCATCAAGATCCTGCATGTGAGTAGCATATTTTTATGTTACCCTCACGCATTTTATGTTATAAAAACACAATTGAACTGAGACTCAGTTTAATCTTTTGCCTTAAATGTGAATTTGCTCATGGTGGGACCAAATCTATGTGCCTGAAATACCACTTTTTTACCATGAACAATCTTTGATGTGCCACCTGCCACTACCTATTGTTGTAGTACTTTAATTATTTTTCATTTACTACCAATTTCTGATTTTTAAAAATGAATAATAACTGAAAGAGATAAGAATAAATTTGAAGTGTTATATTTTTACAATGAAAGAAAAAACACTCGTTTAAGGGCAAACAAACATTAAAAAAGCATCAAGATGTTTTTACTTATGCTGCTGAGCAATACTTAATTTGTTTAAAATTCATCTCAAAAATAAACGTAGGGTTGAACTTGCAGGAATATCTGTAAGATGTATTGTGTTATGTAGGATTATGGCTAAAAAACACTTTTTGAAAAATGTCTATTAAAAATCTTAGAAAATTCAAATATTTACCATAGATAAGGAGGAGTGCTTTTCTTTCAGTTTTTTTCCCTCCATTAATTGCGATTTATATGCTCTGTGTTATCAATATATTTAACATGGCTTATTGTACTTTTTTTCAACTTTTTGGAATTATTGAGAATTTTTAATTTTAAATTAATTGGATTTTAAATTTTTTTTTGCCCATAGGAAGCTGGCAATGTTGTTGATATAAAGTCATGGCCTCTCTTCTTAGATACTGATGACATTCCAAAAAAGAAATTAACTAGCATATATAGAGCCCCAACTCCTGAAATGATAACTTATTCGGATTTAAGTGTTAGCGCAACTGGAATGCTAGCTGGTATTAAGGTATAAAAATATTTTACTGTTTTATTTGTGTTCTTAAAATATTGTTTTAAATTAATTGGAATTAAATATTTATAACTTTATTCAGTCTGTGTATTTTGACTTAAAAAGATAACATATTTCAGATGTCCCATGCAGTATCAACCTCTTTCTGTACAAGTATGAAACTTGCTTGTGAATTATATCCATCAAGACATATAGCTTTTGGCCTTGATCCTTACTGTTGTTTAGGTTTTGCCTTATGGTGTTTGAATAGGTAACTTTACTCACATCAATTATATTAGTGACGTTTTTTTTTCTCTTAAATAGTTTAAACCATTTGTGATTTTCTTATATGTGCTATATCAGCAAGAGTAGGATTTATATTGAATTTTTTAAGTAGAGACAATTAAAAAAATTTATCTGACATGAGAATAGTGAATAAAATCCGTTCAATTAAGATAAGATTATAAAATAAAATTTTAAACTATGTTTTTAATTTAGTCAATAAATGAATGAGGTTTTCATTTTATCCTTATCTTGTTACCTTTATTTATAAAGTTTTCTACTTGAAACGTATAACAGCATGAAGTCTTATACATTTCTATTGAAGTTTCTGAGAATTAAATAACAAAATCTGCAAAAGCAATTATTTTTAAGAACCAGCTCCTGATATTTTCTTTTTGCAAAAATTTTTTTTTCTGGTAAAGATAAAAAAGTATTTTTGAGAGTTTATTCTCTTACTTAATTTTCTGAATAATTACTACCTAAATTTAAGTTGTTTATATGTATTGTTATCTAATATTAGTTAGTATGTATCGTTATCTAATATTTTCAATGTAATGCTTTTGATTATCTTTTTTGAGTTTTTTTTACAAGTGTGCTTGCTTAAAGCCTCTCCATAAGTTAAATAATTTTCTCTGACTGTCACACTGATAATGTTTTAGAAAGTCTATTTCCATCACTATAATACTATTCTTATATTTAATGCTTTTTTTTCTACTGTGTTATTATGCAGATGATCAACATTCTGTTATTGTCATGCACTTAAATATATGGAAGGAGGCAATTCATAATTAGCATTTTAAAAGTATCATCTATTTTAGTATTTTCTGCTAAAAATTTATTGCAATTCTTAGCAATTAAAATTTTCATAACATGAGAATTGCATATAATCACTATAGATGTGATCTTCATAGTGATGGAAAATTCATTTAGAGGGAAATTGTTAACTATTTATTCTTGTGACACAAACATTTTAGTAACTTTTCATCCTTAAGGCTTGATAAATACTAAAGAAATTCCTTTACTATCCTAGAGATGGTTGCATTCTTTTTTCTTCATATACATACACAAAAGCCTTTTGGTTTTAATATTTCTGTTTACTCTCAAAAATTAAAAGATCAACAGTGATAGCAAAATAATTAAATAAATAAAATGTTCACACATGCATTGACATAAAGGAAATGTTTTTTATAAAAACCAATACAATGTTTCCTCCAAATTGACTAAAATTATTTTATCAAAATTATTATAATTTGTGACTAAGATTATTTTTAAAAATTTTTGCCAGATTTACTTTTCAAATTAAATATGCTTATAAGAAAAGAGTTTTAATTAATATCTTGAAGTTTTCAATACATTTTCATGAAGCTTTCAATACATTTTCATGAAGCTTTGTGCATAAGGTATCCTCCTTATTTATTGCTGACTCAAAATAATTAGGTTTCGTATATCAAAACTAAAGAGATTTTGTCTTTATTATTCAATTCTTGCTACAGTGGTGTAAAAAACCTTTACATTCATAGTTGTCATGACCGTGCCAAGATTTTCATTCACTTTTTTTTTGCCGACACTATAACAAAAATGGCACTTTTTGTTTTGATACTTGACTTTTGGAGCTTGTTTTCCCAACCAAAGTTTTTTATGCTTAAAAGAAATGACAACAAATTTATTAATTGCAACGGGACTGTTTTGTGCTTCTACAGAAATTGTAAGTAAGCTTTTTATAAGCAAAGTACTGATATTATGTTTTTAATACAAATGGAATTGATGCGTATTTATTGATAGGACTGGACT